AGAATGTAATTTCTGTTTCAAGAAATGAGCCAAACCAATGGAGAAAAACTGTAATTACATGACACTGTCCAACAACCCAGAGAAGCCTACATTAAAAAACAGTCCCAAGAATAACTTTTCTCCTCCTGCTGGGTTTGTGTTGACTGCAGGGGTTTATACACACTCTCGAGCATTGCAATGGCATCATCAACATTTTTTCTGCACAGGCCTACAATCAAGAAAGCAGACTGCTGGGCAGTAGAGCTGATATGAGGGATCCTTGGGTCGTTCATTACTTGAATATTAAAGCATTGCAGGGCATAAGCTGACACTGTAAAGTAGTTAAAACAACAGTAAGTAAGCTTTAAATAAAATCAACAAGTCTCTGATCAGAAAAGGACAGTGGTATTATCAAAGAAAAGTTGACTTTGCATTACCTGAGTTGATCACAGTAAAGGGAAACATCTGCATTGCTTTCTTTTTAAATGCCAGGAACACAGTGAGCTTGTTGAGTACGAGGCGAATGTTGGTGAGACGCTGGAGAGGATGGGGCGAGGCAGCAGTCTTAACCCCTTGGAGGATGGCATGTGCCACAGAATTGGGGTCCAATCCACCAGATCCTGGACAACCATTCAAACAAAAGTCCATAACTAACTTTGTTGTGTTATGCACTTTAATGACTCCCACACTACTCACCAGCACAGATGGCAGGAACGGCCAAAGACTTGTAACCAGAAGACTCACAAAGTTGAATGATGCGACGAAGCAGCTGCTCGATGGCAACTGTATCTTTTTCTCCACACACATGTAAAATGGCTTTACAAGGGAACATGCCAGGCTGGGTTTCCAAAATCTCTCCACTGTTCACGTTTCCTGCATGGATGCGATAAAGACAACATGAGATGATACGAATTGTTAGAAATGATTTACGATGTAAATATAAATTTGGAAATATTTTTCAGAATCATTCTTCTCACTGTTTTTTAGTGCAGCTTCAACCTGAGGCCCAGCCTTTCTTAAGATGTCTTTGCACACTCCATCTGTACATAAATAATAATAATAATAATAATAATAATAATAATAATAATAATAATAATAATACTAATAACCATCACTGAAATTGTTGTAATGCAAATGGACTGTAAAGGCCAGTCAGCGCTCCTACAATATCCTCTTTAATACACAATGGGTCCTGTCTAATTTATGATGCTTGGATGGTGTTCAGCAATGAGTAACTTTTGTTTACTCATGACAGTACTTTACCTGTCTGAAAGTCTTTGAAGTCCGTTGTGTTCACCACAGCATCCGTAGTCTCATTAGTGATGTCACCAAACACCACTTGTAGTTTAACTCTGCCTTTCAGAGTTATGGTGATGTCAGCAAGGTCACTCGTGGGCGCTGAGAGGAAGAAGAGCAGATTACGTTTAATATTTGTCTCATGTTGTTGCTGTATTGTGATCTTTAGTACAAATTTGATGTAGTTCCAGTACTTTGAAGAAGTTGTTTTTCTCTGATGAGGACCTGACAGGATCTCGCCACCAGTTCTGTGTTTTGTCTCCCATCTCCCTGGAAGTACCACTGCACCGCCGGTTCATTTAACACCACTGTATCAGTTGACAGCTGCTTTAGACTCGTGGCTAAGTCTGTCTGAAATTTCTGAACCAGAGAACGAGGACCCTTCACGAGCACACAGGGATGTGGAACATGTGAGGCTTCCAAGGTCACATTAGATTGCTTCAT